TATGGACTTCTCTCTACACCTGCAGAAAGGGAGTTCTGTTGCAAAGTATTCCTTATGTGTGTTAGAGTGTTCTAATGTTGTTGCTGTAATATGTCAGGTTCAGCCCAAGAACAACAATGAGGCAATTCAGTACAGTACAGTTCCTTTATTAGCTTGCACCTAATAGACAGAATCTCGCCAGACTACACCTATGCTAAAGATATTAGTGGATATAACCCCATGAAACCCTAGGGAGGGACCGGCCTCCTCCTCTTTCTATTCCCATGCTCTTGCTGAGAAAGTGCTTGCTCTGAAATGTTTCCCCTCCCTCCTGGTAACCTTGATCCTCCATTCCAGTATCTTCCTCGCTCAAGCCTTCCGTTACAAATGCTAGTATGCTCCATCATTTTTAAAATGGAAACAATGCATTTCTATGATATATCAGAAGCCACTGTGGCTCTGCAGGATTAAAAAGTTACTTATTTTACCAAACATCTCTGAAAAAGGCCAGTAGCTTTGCCAGTTTTGCAAAAATGTAGTAAATTTCATTTCATTGGACACATTAGGGAAATACTGTAGAAGGAGAAAAAAATGGTTATCTTACATCTCCCAGCATGGCAACAATGAACTCTTAGCTTCTTTTCTCCCTTTTCCTATATAGACTTCCAGTGTTCATGAGCACTTAATTGGCAGAACTTTTAAAAAGTGTGTTCTTAAGAAAAAGGAGAACATGATATCTTAATATGTTTACAGGGATTTATAAAAACATGGTATGAGCACTGTTTTTAGAAGATTTAATAAATCATGCATGTTCTACCATGCATGAAAAAATACAGATTTCTCAGGTTACAGCCTTGGAAATCCTAACACTCGTGCATATTTATATTTGAAATAAAATATCAACCAACTTTATTCTGCAAGCAAAATCAATGGGGGGGGGGGGAAATCCATTTTAAAAACCATTTACACACATAAGGACCAAAAATGTTTGCCACTTTCTTGCAGACAGGGGGGTGGAGAGAATGCA